TTACTAGAGAAATAGTATGCTAGCCATAATATTTGCACACTTAGGTTTAATTTTATCTTTGCCTTGAGTTATATATTTATCAAATGAGGTATAAATGGTATTTATAGAAGCAAAAAATCAAACACTCCTCTAAGGGGTAGGGGTTATAGGGGTGGGGTGGGTGGGTGGGGGTGGGGTGGGGGGTTAGGTTGAGATAGAATGAACCACTTTAGAGTTAGTTAAGAGTTGTTTGAGAATAATGATACATATAATTAATTCTAATCTTGATTTAATTTGTTAGACAATCAATTTGCTTAAGCATGAAACAAAGGATGTAATTAGTATTGATTTGGGTACATAATCATGCAAGAACGTGGAGGATTAATCCAAAAAACAATATGATTAAAGTTGGTACCGAATTATTAAAATTCTTGATATATGATAATATTAATATTTGCATTAGGTATTCATAAAAATGTAGTCATAATTAAACCAACTCTCATTGACAGGGTCAAATCAGTCATTGCAGTACAATTGACTGGATATGTAACTGTGTAGTGGATAGGAGTTGAACAAATAAAGTTGAGTATCTTTACATTCTAATATTCCCAACTTTTAATCGAATACTTTAAATCTAATAAAAAAAAAGTGATTAATTTAAGATTTTCAAGAATGATTACGTTGTTATTGGATATGAAGCTAGTAATTAGTTACTTTTTCAGAAGATTAATACAGTAAAAAATAATATAAAATTAAAACATGGCGATTAGTCTTCTTTTAACATGATTCCTCTTATTTAAAAAATTAGGGTAAATTACAACCAACCCCCTCTGGTATGGCTAAATTACGAAAACCTCCCTCATGTTTGGGTAATTACAACCACCCCTCAACTATAAATCTTCTTACATGTCCACCCTTGCGGTTTCAAATTTAGTGCAATCGTCTAGATTATATGGAATATTGTCGAGTTTGTACCCGTTTTATCTCATTCGAGCTCCACATTTTGAAGCAAGATGATCATAAAATGTGTTTTTTGGCTTGTATATATCAAATTGTAGTGCATCAGAAACTTTTTTTTTTTTGCACAAAACGAGTACAAACTAGAGCACATTCCACGGAATCTAGATGATTAGGGTGGAGGTGTAAGAAAATTCATAGTTGAGGGGTAGATGTAATTATCCAAACAAGAGGGGTTTTTTCGTAATTTGACCATACTTCAGGGGTGGTTGTAATTTACCCAAAAAATTAACTTATAACACAATCGAAATTACGAAACTTTCTGACAGATGCCTACAACGATGTGATGGTATTTGGTACTCGTAGTTACGGATGCGAGGTCCTGCTAAATTTCATCGATTTAATCAACTATATATTATAAGAATTCTCGATAGGTTATTTTTTTTCTTGCGGCATTTTCCCTTCTATTTAGTTGTAAATGGAATTATGGAACTTTCTCCCGGAGCTGCAGAAATAACCACTCTATTAGAAAGTCGAATTAGCAACTTTTACACGAGTTTTCAAGTGGATGAGATTGGTCGAGTAGTCTTAGTTGGAGATGGTGAATACATTTTCTTGTCTTTTATTATTTTCGTATACTATAGTATTCACATATATCCAAGTTATACTTATAATTGTTTTAACATATTTTAAATAAATCAAACTCGGACCGAATTCGTTTTATTGGAATATTTTCGGAACTCAATCTCGAATTTTGAGTATGTCGCTAAAACTTGCGAATTAATGGACTCGTCACTAGACCAATCCACAATAGAACTTATGAAACAACGTATAACCAAAGTTTTTGCCAGACCCGTAACACAAAAATAAAATTTGTTACAAATAAAAAACGAAAAAATCACAATTTATCATTTCACACATTATAGTTACAACTTACAAGATGTATATGAATGCAAATAAATTCAAAACAAACATTCTGACCGAAGCAGCATTTCGTCGCGCTTCTTATTTATCCTTACGTATCTTTCGACGTGTAATTTAAATCGACAAAAAAAACGGTTAAATACAATGTGAAGACGACCAATTCTTTTTATGAACTTATCTTCCGTGCTCGAGTTCGTAAGCTTTCTTCCTTAAAAACATACCACAGTAAGAATTTATATGTTTAATAAAATACTTTTTTCGGGGCGGGCAGCTTTAAATAAAATAGTAAAGCACGCCGCGGCCCGTTAACCCGACCCGGAACTTGTGGGCCGGGTCAAAATTGGACCGAGCTCGAGAAAGTTTGACCAAAAGCCCAATTGGAAGGGGCAATATCTAAGAAAGTTTTAGTTAGTCCATCAGAAGTTGTGATCATGAAAGAAAGAGATTGGCCATTGAGAAAAGAATTGGATTGCCAATTAGCACCCCAATTTCTTGACAAAGGCATCCACCCGGTTTTCGACCCCTTAATTTGGACCGATCTAATGGACCCAGCGTTCCCCACGTTCGTGATCGTCACTAGCTCGAAGTAATCTCGTCCGTTGATTGTGAATCTTACTCCACCCCGCTTCACGCATGGAACCCTTCATATATAGAAAAAAATAACACGATAAGATATTTTTCGATCGCACTAATAGAAAAATAAAAGCAATTAAGTACCTTTGGTAAATAATGGGCACGATGCCGCCTTGATAGATGCCGATCTTCTCATAAGCGGGCTGAGCCATGTCGAAATGCTGACGTGGCGGGTTGCACCACCCTCCGTTGTCGTTAGGAAGAGCATTATTCGGCGGGCAGAAGTTTGTTGCGGTTATAGTTACGGAAAAGCCCTTCCTACACCATTGTGGACTAGCTTTGAAATCGCATATGATCTTGAAACATTGACCGCACGATGCCCCGTCGTTGAATAGTGCTGTACTCAACGCTGCTGTTCTTGTACCGTACCCCGCCGTGTACAAATTTCCGTACCCACAAGCACCCCCTTCACCCCCACAAAAAAAAATTAAAAATTAAAAATCATGACATTGCAATTTAATGTTATAATTTTCAATTATTGATGAACAATAAATATTTTCTTGATTTTTTTTTAAATAAAAAAAATTGCGTACCCATTGTTCCGGAAGCATCGCTACCTCCGTAGAAAGTTGCATGTGCCTTAGTCCATCCAGAAGCTGTGAGAGCATTGGCGTTCGTGATCAAATTGCACAATCCAAATATAAGTACTAACGATGAAATTACGTTTTTCTTCTCCATTTTCTTCTCGGGTTTTTTTTCGTTTCGAATTACGAGAGAAAAACGGTTTTAATTTGTAGATTGGAAGTATGTCGATTTCTTGCCGAGAAACACAAGATTTAGTGGGAGTTATATAGTTACCAGAATTTCTGCTAAACAACAACCTCACATGTGACAGACATGCAAGTAGACCAAAAAATCAAAATTAAAAATAAAAAATAAAAAAAAAAAAAAAAACAAAAAAACAAAAAAAAAACAAAATTGTATTATGTATGAGAATTCTGATTCAATTATTCCCACGTTCTCCCCCCATTCCTTACAACCCACATGGGATTTTTTTCCCAACTAAAGAGCCGTGTTTGGATCAAACTTTCACACCAAGAAACCATTTTTTTTTCTTACATTATTATTATTTTTAGATGATTTTTCTTACATTCTTTAAAGGCATTGTTTGTTGCTATATCAAGAAAAAACACATTAATAACATTCAATAGTGATTTTTTTAATACAATATTTTGCAAATTAATTATATTTGTGACCACCTATCATAAATTCATAAGTGAACATCAATTTGATGACCAAATATTTTTCATGCATGTGTGATATAATGCAATTTGTGAAGTGGTGTTATTTTCCTATGCCTAATGTAATTTATGAACCTCCACCACTTAGTTTTACATTTTCTTTTTTTGTAGTTTGCAATCAAGGTGATATTTGTCTTTGCCTATATAAATTAAGCTAGAATTATTCCATTTCCCATATATGGAAGACAATAATTTGTTCAATTATATTTTGTTGAGACCATTCACATCTTCTCTTAATTTATGGACTCAAAGTCGTAATTTTGTCTTAGATGCTACACATGATTATTTATATCGACCTTTCATTTCATCTTTCATTTCATTTTAGGGTAAATTATGGCCACCACCCTGAGATAATGTTAAATTACGAAAAGACCCTTACTGTTTGGGTAATTACAACCACCACCCTCAATTGTGAATCTTCTAACATGTCCACCCTTATGGTGTCAAATTAAACAGACTATTCTAGCTTTCGTGGAATGTTCTGTAGTTTGTACTTGTTGTGTGCAAAATGTAGTTTATGTTGCACCGCAATATGATATTTACAAGCCAACAGACACATCTTATGATTATCTTGTTTTGAAATATGGAACAAGAATGAGGTAAAACGGATACAAACCAAAAACCAGTTTATGAAACAATATTGAGAATGTTGTAGTGTTAATAAGGAGAAAATTGAAAAATATATAATTAATATAATATTAAAATTCTAAAGTAAAAGATACTACCAAAAAAAATTAAAAGTGACAAATACTTGTAGAACATATGGATATGTATTTATGTTTGATAGGTAATAACTAATTAATAATATATATTTCTATTTACTTGGATTGTAAGACTCCTATTTGGTCAATTTCACAAGTGAAATAACTGTTTTTTACATTGGTTCGGTAAATAGTATTTATTGACTGAATTTCAGGGTGATCTGATAAACAATCCACCGCCACATATTAATTTCTCATCAGTTTCAGTTGAAAAAATTGGTGTTTATATATTCTAATTTAATATGTAAATACTTTGATTGACCAAATAATTAAACATTAGAAAATTAATTTATTAATTATTTTCTTTTTGCAAGTTGTGGATTGGCTAACTGTACAAGAGAAGAAAAACTGTACGAAATAACGTACACAAATTTGTTCTGACCTTTGCCATGTGATGGTTACCAGTAATCAAGCAAAGCCCATGAGAGATAAATAAATTAAATATAATTCATTAATTAAATAATAATTAATTTGTTAGAAGGATAATCAACCATTATTATCTATAATAGAAAAATGAAGAATTAATCAATCATTGGAATATCATGAAATTATATATAAGTTAGGTGAAATGATAATCACCTTATAATGAGGATTTATTATTTCAGAGATATATATATATATATATATGCTAAACATATGTAGCATAGCTGTTTGTAGAATAATTAGGAGATAGTTTGGATGGAAAAGTATGGTTGACTACCGTATTTTAAAAATCGAACCGGACATTGACATGAAAAAGTCAACTAAGTTGATGGACTGATTCAATTGATTGAACCGGATTTTTTTATTTTTTTATGTAAATACTTTGAAAGTGATTATCTTATAAAAATATATTCAAGAGAATATATGTACTCATTATTAAACATCAAACTAATTAAAAGACTTGGTTTCAATTCATTAATCACAAAAAATAAATTTTAAAATATATGTCATCCAATCTTTATCGGATTCGATAGGTTTGCTACACGATTCAATCGTTGTTTCACCTCGTTCAACAAAATTTTGACCCGTTTCATCCGATTTGAACATGATCAACATCAACAACAGGGTCACGGTTCAACTGGTCCGCTGGATCCGATATTAACAGACAAGAATCATGTTAAGACCTAGTGCTCGTAACTCGTAAGCTGCATTCTCGCAATTCATAACCTACAAATGCACCTCATTCAGTTACTATTTCAAACTTCGCAACAACAAATAACCCTTCTCAAAAGAATTGATACCGAGCAAACCAAATGCTGAACCTTCATACAAAAATTCTAGTAAATCGAAACGGGAATTTTTTTCGTTTAGTGTACAAGAAATAAGCAGTGATGCTGGTATTAGCACAAGATGTAAAGCTTTCACCGAAATCAAATAAAAACAAAACCGCGTATAAAGGATACGAGACTTTCAAAGGATGCCCATCTATAGGTTATCGAAGAAAAAAAATCCAGCAACAGACATACAAATTAAAGAATAAGGTACTCCTCACCAAAATAAGGTTACACTTGATTCATTTAAGCAAAAACACTAAAACAACTATGGAAACTGAAAAGGAAAAAAACAAAAAGGCTCACCACGCACGCGCGGCCCAAGTTAGTCTACACCAATTACAGACGAACATCCTAATAAAAGTTAAAAAACTAATAAATAAAAAACTACCGGGAAAAAAAAAACATAGGAAACGAGGGGTGTATCAATCAACTCATAGAACATCAAAGTGTCCTCATAAAATAACTCCACCCCAAGTTTGCAAACACGTAAGCAACTCAAGCAGCAGCTTGGACCGGCCCGTTGTTTGATCTGAACCCACGACCTCTTCCACGAATGCCTCCCCTTCCACGGCCACGGCCTGCAAAACAAATAAATTGTAATTTTAGGAATAAGTTGATACAAAAAAATAACAACAGAAGAACAGAAAAAAATAGACAAACATTAGCTAAGTAGGACAATTTTTTTTATTATTTTTTTGTCCAAGTTTACCCGAACATTAGCTAAGTCATAAAGAGATAATGAAAAGCCACAAATGGGTAAATTTGTCAAATAAAAATTGTTTTCCCTTAAATCAAGGCTATTTAATAACTTCTTTTAATTAGTGTGCATCAACCTTAAACTACACTTAATATGAAACAGAGGGAGTAATTTACTGTATCAAGTAAATTTCGTGAGATCTTTTTTTTGGTTCAAAAGCAATCAACTGCATGTCGATACACCTAAGCAGTCCTTACAGTGAGGCTCGACACTAATCTCTACATAATATTACACAAAAACATAGAACTGGTGACTGGGAATAGAAATAGTACCTCTTGGTCCTCCTTCTTGATTGTAGCCACCTCGCGGTCCTTCCTGGTTGTAGCCACCACGTGGTCCTTCTTGATTGTAACCGCCACGTGGGCCGTCTTGATTGTAACCGCCACGTGGGCCGTCTTGATTGTAGCCGCCACGTGGGCCGTCTTGATTATAACCGCCACGTGGGCCCTCCTGATTGTAGCCGCCACGTGGGCCCTCCTGATTGTAGCCACCACGTGGGCCCTCTTGATTGTAACCACCACGTGGACCCTCTTGGTTGTAGCCTCTTGGTGCATCTTGGTTGTAGGCCCCACCATCCTGATTAGCATCCATAGGTGGGCCATTGAACCCTCCCCTTCCACGGCCACGGAAACTGCGACCTCTACCACGCCCCCTTCCCCCCCTAGGGTACCCACGGTTCCTCTCATAGCCTCCTTCCTCGTACTCGCCACCAGGTGCAAAACCATTTCCTGTTTGAAAGAATTAATGCATATTTAAATATTGCTTCAATTCATTACAAATGAGCCGAACCCTCGAAAAGATGGATGAAATTCGTTACCAGGTGGTCCTCTAGGCCTGCCCCTCCCTCTGCCACCTCGGCCTCTTCCTCGGACTGGAGGTGACCCCTCTGCAAAATTGGAATAAGCGTAAAAACATAGGATTTGTAGGAATGTACTAAGTGTAGAAACCAAAGAATGTGATACCACCTCCATCATAGTCAACTTCCGTGAAGACCTTGACTTGGTCAGCTGGTATCGGAGGTTGGTACCTGCAACACATAATGGCTGATAAATAACCTTTTTTGCATGACGATCGAGTTACTATTGGTACGAAATGCAGTTTACTGTTTGAATACAGAGTGGTTAAGAGAAGGGGACACCAAAAGTTATTCCCGTTATAACCAGATCAAGAAAAATCAAGCTATTAAGTTTTACATTAAGAGCAAGTGATTGTTACTTTTTTCTTGATCTACACTAGACTTGGAGTAAAACATGCATTATTCACAAAACAGAGAACTTCAATAGCTCACCCAATATTTGCTGTATCCAAGTCTTTCTTTGAGAGAGTAATAGTGACCATCGAAACTTTCCTTGTGGTTTCCAGGCTGTGACATTAAAGGTAAACAAAATGTTATAATAGAGCCATCACCCAAACCTTCTTTAGAAAGAGAGTTGTCAACAGTCAGAAAGCTTAAACAGTTTCATAGTCGAACTAAGTTTTCCCTTACGTTTGAAGCCCTTCCTCCAGCGGTTCCCATGTGTCGGTTATATCAGTGGATTGAATTGCTGTAACTTGGTGAAGACCAACAATTCTCCTCTGAATTGCAAAAATACATATATCTTGAGATAACCATCAGACCAAAAACTTAAAATCTAAGTAAACAGCTAAAAGAACCACCCAGCTAAACAAAGAAAAACCTTGATCAACTCCACGATTGTCACAGTTTTGTTGATGGCTCTGCCCATTGCCTTGAACACTATTTCATCCGAACCCTTTTCCTACAATGAAAATGCATGACATTAAGTCATATGTGAAGGAATATTTGCCCAATATAATCAAACATGGCAATCATCAAATCTACGCATGAAAAAATGGATAACATGTATAAGAAGGAATGCAGTGCCAACACAATCTGAAACAAATTAAGACAAAATAAATAGTGGGGTTCTTACAATTACCATATTTCCATTTGGTCCAAAATCTAACTATGTAAAGCAAGGAACTTAACAGCTACTTAAATTACAAACTCATAAACATGCATTTCACAACGATTCTCAGCATACCTAACACCTCCATCAAAATGCAAGCAAACCATCTATACAACACATCGCGCAGTCCTTATTTTTAAAGAATAACACTATAAAATTTTGATATTGTTCCAAAAGGTCAAGAATTAAGCATATTACCCATAAAATCCATAGATACCCAAATAGCCCTAATTAATCAATTAACTCAACGAACCTACCCCTGACAAATGAATTCCTAAAACTGCATGGAGTCTCACAAAATCATTTCCACAAACAAGAGAAAAATCAATTACATAAAAAAAAATGAAATCTTTTAGAATGGTGTACATAATCAACCAAAAAAACGAGTCCTCGTTGAAAATCAAAATGCGTAGATATATTTACCTGAAGCAAGCTCATGGCGTAAGTGATGTAGCTACGCATCCTTCCTTGGCTCGTAATCCGAATCTCATTTTCATCAATCGGCGTTTCCACTTTCGGCTTCTCCACCTTCTGGTATCGATCCATTCTCTACAAACTATACACACCACAAAAAAAAAAACACAAATTACACAAAATACATATATTATACGCACACACACACACACACACACACACACACGCACGCACGCGCGCGCGCACACATAAAACGAAAAAGGCGAAATTAGCCAGGTTTTTTCTGCCGATTAAAAAAAATACGGTACAGATCTGAAATTGATGAAATTTACAGGCGAATCTGGAAAACGGAAATCGGAAAAATTGAATACCTTGGTGGCGTAAATGTGTAGGTATGAATAAAAAAGATGGTGATAATAAGCTCCAGCCCTCTTCTCTCCGGCTTTGTATTGCGTTAGAGCCCTGACCGTTTTACTGCGTGCTTATCAGCTATTTATGCCATTGGAAACCTTTGCCCTAGTTCTTTTCCACCGGTCGACCCGGTAGCCGGTTGAATTGTTTTTTTATTTTAATTTTTAATTTCCGGAATAATGAATAATTAATTTGGGAGTTGTGATAAGACTATTCCCAGATTTGCATGCCGAATTCGTACGAGTTGTCCGCACGTTTGGACAAACTAGGTTAGATATTGTCAGGTGTGAGTGTACAAGCTTCTGAAGCATGATGAACGTACAACTACATTGCACTCGTTGGATTTTTTGTGAGTGAGATTTTAGATTCCTTTTTGCCAGGTGACCTTTTCTTCATTTTCTTTTTTTGTATTTATTTATTTATTTATTTATTTATTGAAACGGTCAAACAATGAATAATTTCTGAAATAGTGGATTAATTATGCTATAATCTTTTTCGTTTAAGTAATGTATTAGAATATTTCTTTCTAATAATGTATATATATTATTCGAATCTATCAAAGTATATATATATTAGTTTTTTAAACATTATTAAATATATTAAATAATAATGACATTCTAGACCTCTAACACTAAGTCAATTATTTAAGGGGAAACTACAGATAAATCCCTAATCCAAAACTCAAATCACAGATCAGTCCCTAGGTAGTTTCTTCAAGCAAATCAGTCCCTATTCACGCGTCTGACATGCAGATCAGTCCCTAATGTAAATTTAATATATTTTATTATATTCTCTCTCTTCTTTTTCACTCTCACCCTTTTCTCTCTCCTCATTTTCTCTCTCTTCATTTTCTCTCTCTTCATCTTCTCTTTCTTTCTTCTCTTTCTTCATTTCTATCTGCTCTTTTTCTTCTCTATTTCTTCTCTCTTTCTCTCCTCTGGTTTCCTCTTTTTTCCGACGAAAGAGGGTTCGCACCGATGGCTGGTAGATCTCCATATTTTTCTGTACTACTGAAATGCATTTCCTTATGGTTGTTAATTATTGTGATACATAGTATAAAATATGGCACGCAATAGTACCATGCTAATATAAATATGGTATGGACGTATGGTACTTACAATACGTAATCGTTATACGTATAGTATGCGTGATAGGTAAATTTGGTACTGTTGGTGGGAAAACATAATATAATGGGGAAGATAGTACGTAACCTTCATCTGAATAGTATGGGTGATAGGTAAATTTGGTACTGTTGGTGGGAAAACATAGTATCATATAATGGGGAAGACAGTACGTAACCATTATTCGGATAGTATAGGTGATAGGTAAACTTGGTACTATTTGTGGGAAAACTTAGTATTATATAATGGAGAAGATAGTATGGAACCAGTGCATTGTTATGATATTTTCATGTACATTGTTATTTGGATTCCACTCTATTGTAATCTATTTTTTAAATTTTTTTAAACTAAAAGCGGCGATCAATCGATGGAAATCGAGGGTAATCCGCTTAGAAATTCAATTGATGCATAGAGACATTGCATCCGCCGGGCGCATCAGTTTTTTAAAGATCCTGATGATTTTAGGCATATGCTGAAAAACTATTATATTGCTTATAATCGATCATTTAAGTACATGAAAAATGATCAACAAA